GATTTATGCTCGGCGCAGAGTGCAACACAAAATACGAGGAAGGAAGAGGCAGGGAAGCTCACACACAAACACGCACACACGAGCGAATGACGTGACTGGAATGCATGTGAATGACAGCTGGGCGAAGTTTTACTGCCTGTGTATAAGTGCACTAAATGCATAGCGTACCCAAAGAATACACCTACCTATAAGTATGTATGTGTGGGTGTGCTGCCATGACTGCTGGGGCGTCACATTTGCCTCGACGATGATTGATAGTAGTGTCAGGCTAGAGTGCATTATTACAAAACCGAAAGACATGCTAAACCCTATACAAACAAATGCGACAAACTGGATAAATGTACAGGCAAACATGCGCACACACATACAAATACAAACATACAATGCTACAAACGCAATAAATTTATAAAATATGCAACATAGAGATCGAGTTGTATTCATTTGCGAAGTCTGTAAATGTTTCGATTTATGTGTTTGTATGTGTATGTGTGTATATGTAAGTATATAAGCATAAGTGTATGTATATGCCGTTGTATACACGTGACATTGAAGTGACGAAGAGATTACCGCGCTTGTCTGCTAATACAAATGTTGAATTGATGGCAATGGTTATTCAAACCACTGACAGCTGAAGTCGTCGAGAAGAAAGATATATATTCACTATTCACTGGCGTGACAAGTTTATTTTGTGTAATCAGCTTTGAAATGCAAGGAATTCAATTTGTGCGCGGGTACTCCCTTTTCCCCCTAGAGATAAAACCAACGGCAAGCTTAAATTTTCAGAATCTCGCTGAGCTTTATTTAATACAGAGATATATTCATTTAAGTGAACAAGAATGCTTGCTGAAGGCCAGATTCCGAGAATACGGTAGGTGCGGAATCAATTTATGCATCTTTTTCGGCATTTTCATTGATTTGTAATATGGTAAGCTGGTTGAGAGTTTTCGCTTCAAATATATAATATTCATACACGTTCCTTTGAATGTCTGCTATCTTCATCAACTTCAGGTTACAATGAAACAAAAAGATTGTTTGCATTCTTCTGGAGCTTTATTTCATAACAGCATTTTTCGGATGTTCGTTGGGTTCATTGTGTTTAGTGCACATGTGATATGTATGGATTTTGGCAAGCAACCGGTCTGGTAAGGAGCCGGATAATACTTATCTAGCTTTTACTCTCACAACATGTTGCTAACGGTTGTTTGTGGCATTTAAAACTAATCGAGATAGATAAAGAGTCATATATGTATACTTAAATGATCAGGATGACTGGACGAGTTGAAATTCAGTTGACTGTCATTAAACGATCACTTATAAATTGTCATAACTAAGCACTAAAATAAGATAAAAAACTGTAATTTTTTACAGGGAATTGCAGTTTCAATTCTACCGACACTTTATACCGTTATAAGAAATCTTAATAAAGTTTAGAAAGAATATATTTTAAACAACATTGTATCATCTTGCCTAAAATGGAAGAATTACTTCCCCTAGCTTAATACGAGTATAAAGTTCTGCCAGCACCTGAAGGTATTTCCCCGGCTTTGAACCTTGCAAGTGGCGAAAGTATAACACATTCGGTTACACTCAAACTGAGCGCTTCCTTACTGGTTTATAATAAATTTTTTACATCAGTTTCATTCACACATTTCATTCATTTTATATTCCTCGAATCGATTATCCGACGTCCTCTTCAAAAAAGATATAGCATTTCAGCGAGAGGCCCGGAAACCATGATACGCCTTCCGTTAAAGATGTCAAGAAGTATTCAAATGGTATTTTGAATAGAAAGTTGATAAAACATTTTAGAGTGATTGTGGAGCTCTTTAATATCCATCAAGCCCATGAAAGCTTAAAATGTTGAGTGAAAGTGAGTAATATGTATTTTTTCTTAACACAGAGATTTTGCATTGAAAATATTTAAATTTTTTAAATAAATCTCTTCGTCTGGACACTATTAGGTTCCCTAAGCATTTCTCGACTGGTCATGCTACCTTCCACAAAGCACATGCAATTTGCCATGCACTACGGCTTTGCGTCAAGTTTCTTACAACACATTTCGCAATTTCCTGCACTAAATTTTGTAGTTTATTTATTTCTGCCTCAAGCGGTTTATTTGACGTTATATTCCGGTGGCGGGTATGCAGCTTTCACTAGTTTTAAAATTTTCCTTCCAGTCGCAATTTAGGGGAGTGCTGGAAAAAACTGAAGAAAACATGACTTTTAACTGAAAGCTAATTAAATGGCACGGAAGAGCCTATAAAACGCAAAGCACACAATTTTCGGGTCGTTAACCAAGAAGCAGAATGCTCTGTTGTTTGGAAAATTTTATGCACGCACTGAGGAACTCAAGCAGGCATAAATACGAGTGTATAAAAATATACAGGCGTATATATACATAACATGCCCGTCTACCGATATACATGTGTTAGTCGAATGCTCGTTAGTTCAACTCAGACGACGAGTATGTTAGAAAATAACTGCACGCAAAGGTGAAACTAAATTTGAACGCATTCAATATTGTAAGATTCTTAAACGAAAATTATTTTGAACTAATCCAACAGTGTGTGGAATAGTTATAGGAACTGTTTTTTGGTCTTTGAACAAAATTCATTTGAGAATCTTTGAAATGACTTGGAAGATAGATGAGGCCTTAGCATTTAGCCATCAGTTTGAAAAGTGTGTGTAGCCACTGTGTCAAACCATTTATTTGAGAATCCCGAAGCTAACATAACGTGCTTGAAATTTTTTTCTCGTTGACCAAGTCGTAAATTGTTTATTACCTGCTTGGGCTAATCCAGGTTATCCAGATGTCTATATAATATATGATATCCACGAGTAAACATTATTCTATAAGCAATTGCTGTAAGTTAGATACTGAAAACTGCAAGCAAAGATATTGATCGTCTATATTTCACGTGCTGGTCAGAAAAAGCTTATGAAAAGGAAAATGAAAAGTGGTTAGAAAAATTTCAGAAAACTTAAAAATCTAAGTACTTTTATCGTTAGCAAATTATCTTCATAACATCTCTTCTTTATGAAATTTTCATATATTTTATTGATTGGATAGAGAAAGCTTCGGTGAAAAAATTAGAAATTGTTAAAAGAAGCTTTTGAAAGCTTTTTAGAAAAGCTTAAAGAGCCTAACAAATGTCGACTGCTTACACAATATCGGTTTTTCTTAAATCCAGATGTTTTGTGGAAAATACTAGTATATTATATACTCTTCTTCTTACTTTTATACACAAAGGTTTTTGGTGGGTCTAACCTTAGCGTGGTGATATATTTTCATACAATAATTTTTTATTGTTTTATAAAACTGAATTTTTTGAAACTACTCGAGATAGAATGGACGTTGAATTTACATCACAACTCTACAGAAAAAATATGTTTTTTGTTGCCCTGGCTATGTTAGTAAATTTTGATCTAAATTACGAATTTATTCATGAAAGTATTGAATGCGCTCTTATTTTTATGATACTTGCTGTTCTTATATTTTGATCAATTATCGCCTTATTAGTAAAAACATTTATTTTACCAATCACGATTTTATCACTCATATAAATATCACGATCAGGTCATTTACCGAAAACATACGAAAAGTTATGCGAAAGGTTTAAAAATTTAATAAATCACAAACGTGGATATGTCTAAATCTGCAGTCTACTAAAAAACCACAAAAGTAGTTCACATGCCCTCCAAAAAAATGAATTCCCAGAAATCATTAGAATCGATCAGTCGAAGTGAAAAGGAGGATGAAACATCTACGCTAAAGTTATATTCTCAAAATGAACTCATTGATTTTATACGGGATCAAGTTAGGAATTATAAAGCAATTTGTCAAAGCATTGGTCGTGGAAGGATATTTTTTTAATCACATATGTAAAAAGTTTCCAAAGCTTAGTATAGAAAAGTTTAAAGGTGTACTATTCTTATATACGAAGATTCATGAAAAATATAGTTTTATCAAAGTTCTGACTATTCCAGGAAGTAAAGCTTCGAAAAGTTTAGCACCAAATTAAGAAGGAATTGTGCTAAATATGCTGACAAACTCTTAAATTCTCAGAGAAAATACTCGTGTTGAGTTAGACTATATTCGAAATTATCTCGATTAATTTTCGGATTGGTTAGATAATTATAATGAGAAACAGAGAGAACGGTTCCACTAGGATCTAAAAGTGATGGAACAAAGGTATTAAGGTTGATGAGCTTATTACTATTGCTGGTTCTCGAAAAATGAATTTTGAAATGGACAATCACAAAGAAATAGCTCATGAAAGATATTTTATTGATTTAATGGAGATATAATATATGATTTTGACATTTGTCTCTCTGCTTACTTTGATGTATCCTTATTTATAATATAATATAAATATATTGTTATTTTGTTTCATGTTTTCTGATTTAAAAAGTAAAATGAACACAAAGATTTAAAAATCTATCTCGGGCAACAAAACCACTGTGCACGAGTGTTATTTATGTATCTTCGATAGATGAATAAAGCAATAAATTGCCTGATGATGACTAGCACCTAGATAGTATAATATCCTTAGCGATGTTCTTCCTGTTAAAGTAACGCTAAAAGTCTTTTTTCTTGTAGTTTTAAGGTCAATGCTAAAGTCTCTACAACTGCCCATTTCCATTTAAGCCAAAACTCTTTTAGTGCTTTTCCTCAACACTTTTTTCACGCTGAAATCTAAAGCTAAAACTAATCAGACCCAAGTGTTCTTGACTCTCAAGACTCTTATTGATTTATTCCATACCTCCACACCTTTCCACAGTTTTCTATTATTTTTAACTGTTTTCAAGTGATGGTGATAAATAAATTGTAGTGAATACGAAAGTTGGTGATTTTTTATGGTAGATGCTAGATATCCATTACATGTACAAGTTTGATTGACCTAAACTGAGAAAAATCTTCTATTTGATTTGTGTATACTCTCGTATGTCTCATAAATAATTTATTTCGTCGTTCTTAGTGAAAAGTTTGTACAGTTTGTAGTGTGAATGACATTTCGTTAAAGAATTTTCACCTTCGAGACAGGAAGATGACCAATACAAATACTATGTAAAGCAATTAAGTACCGGATTACTTTAAAAGATGAGTTTCATGTACTATCGTGCCAGAATTTTAGTGCCAAAATTAGAAAAATTATTTAATAATGTTTTCTTCTCGACAATATATATTATAATAAGGCAAGATGAAAAATTTCGACAGTTTGCATAAAAATATTTCAAAAATAAGCATCGCCTTTTTGTGACTTTTACTATAATACATATATGCTGATAGCTATTTCGAAAAATCATCAACATAAAAGCGAAGTCCAAAGTTGAAGGAAATATCTTTCACCATTAAAAACTGCAAATAGTACAACAGAAATTCGAGTAACAACACCGCAAGCAATGGCAACCACTCTGTGGCAAAGAAAACACTTGATGCACTGAGTGTTCGCAAAAATAGCAGATGGTGCCAGAAAGCAAGAAAAGAATGAGAATGGAGCTTAAGTGCCTCGACTGTAAAATTGTTTCTGCTTTATAAATATATATATGTGCATATATACCCATATACTTTTATACACATATAAGAAGGCAGAACCCTCGGAAATTTGTGAACGACCGTCTAGTTAGTTAGTTGGCGGAGAACGTAGCAAAACCAAAACATGGCTCGTTAACGAAAACTGACATGGTGTAGTGTTGTGGCCAAACGATATTTAACAACAAACATTGTTGATATTTTTAGGCTGAAACGTGATTCTTTGTCGTATGCGTGATACGAGGGCTGTTCGAAGCGGGGTGTAGAATTTAAATTCATTTGATTGGTACTAACGAACAAAACAGAAGTCAGCAACAGTTGAGAGAAACCGAGAAAGGCTCTTCGATGATTAAATATACACATAAGCCTAAAAACTTTGGTAATATAACTTAATTAACAAATCTGTTTTGTAAATTAATTTCTCCTATTCCTAATAAGAAGTTCTTTGGAAAAGCACTTAAAAGCTTGGATCGAAAGTTTCAAGTGTACAAGGGAGTTGCATGTCGAAACCGGAGAAATCTACAACTACTTGCTACAAAATATGCTTCTCCATAAGACTATTCATTACTTTGCACGCGCTTTGAAGCTCACTCTGCTTACTAATCTTTTTGGATAGTCCAACCCTTTCTTTCAATGACATTGACAGTTACCTCCAATAACTTCTTATTTCATAGTAACGGATATAAATATTATATTCTCTTACTAAGGTATTAAGTTGGTCTATTCAAATAAGAAATAAAAAATCACAGTCCTCAATAAAATTAAGTTGTAAAACTGTGCGGCAATAACATGAACTCATTAACAGTATGCTAGCAAAATGAGAAGCAATCTCTCAGTCGTCCTCCAACTTCAAACTTTTTCCCGACAAATCAAAAGTAATTTGCAAACCTTTTATTTAAAAATTTTTTTTATTGTTATTATTCATCATTATTTTCTCATTCACATATCATCAAGAACAATTAACACTTTGACCTTTTGAATATTTGCAAATATACACCAACATTTGCCGTTTTGTAAATACAATAAATAACTTTACTTATGTACATAAGGTATATGTATGTATACATATAGTCGTATATATATTTATTCATGGCTACAGCCGGTATACTGGTATTTAAACCTTTTTCGGTGCGGGCATTCAATTCTAACTCAATTAATTTCCAAGAAATTGCTTTGCAAATTTTAATTTCCCTTCTTTTCTCCAGCAGTCGTTTGAGTGGCCGGGAAGTAATCAAATAATTTTCAAACTTTAAACTTTTCAAATTCAGCCATACGATTTATAAAGTTACCCAGCAGACCAAAAACGTATTTTATTTGACTGATATTTGCATGAATGACATGTAAGATCAGAAACATAGTAATTTAAACTCACTCGAGATTCATGTCATTATGTAAATGACCAAAACCTGACTGTTAAGGTCGAAACGATAAGTGAACCATATATTTTCAAGCACAAGCTAAAACGAAACAGTCAAGCGATGTCAATAACGCCGGACGTTGTCTCATTATGTTTGTTCGAAAATGTATGACGCAGGTGCATTCCATCACAGTATAAGTCAAGTTATTTTATTATGAAAAAAAAAGATTCACTAAACGTCTGCTGTCGAAAATTGATGGCATTAACAGGCCTGATCTCCTGATTCAAATCCTCTGGACTGTTTCTTTTTTTGAAAGGCAATTTGTTTGCCATCAATTCTCATGCTATTAACGAGCTCATGATTCGTGCCGAATTCATCGTTTGGGAGGTAAGCTGGTCAAAAAAAATTCTACAAAACACACCCATTTGTATGTAGAATATTATTTGGATTATTTGCAAATAATTCAAATAAGTATAATAGGCTTCTTGAATGCTTCAAAGTCAAGCAATATAAGAGACAGACAAAACACTAGCTACCACATTTTAGTTGTCAGTTTGAACTTCTCATCCTATTGACTTGATATTATTTGATCAATGAAGAACTTTTAGTTGCAATAACGGTACGCTCACATTTGAGATTTAAAGGTTTCGCTAATAATATCGTAACCAAAATCTTTCAGCCATTGCACTAAATTCTGGGTATTGAACCCGTAGTAAAAAATAAATTTATCGAAGTTAGTTCTTAAAATCGAAATATTTTCTCTCGAAATTCAAAATTTAGCTTATTTCAAACATCATTAATATTTATTATATGTAAATTATTAAAAAATTAAAAATGTGGACATAATTTTTCCTTTCTTTTTATTTCAGTGGTGTATAACATTTTTCGATTAAATTTTGACTCTTCGAAGAAAGTCAAAGAGTTATATTTCAATGCTGCCAAGAGATTAACATATGCTTCTAAATTGTGAAATTTACTATGACAGTATAAATGAGTATTAATGAAAACCTCGGGGGTCAAAATAAAAACCTTTACTTCGCATATATTTATATCAGAAATAAATACATACACCTGATGGCTGCAAAGCCTGGTTCCATACATGGTGTTGCAGTTGACGTTCAGAGTTATGTGAAAAGGCAACTTGTTTAACTGATTAAGTTTGACACAAATTGGTTCATTTCAACAGTCGCATCGATACCTTTTTTTCATAGTTTCCAACAACTTTTTTTAAATTAAATTAAATATAAGAATTACTAAGCGCTTGGCAGCTATTTTTTACGACGAGAAAAGTTTGTAGGAACCCAGCGAATGACGCTCCAAAAATGAGCTGAAACTGAAAAACAAACAAAATTCACTGAAGGCCATCCCAGTCGAGACTTACAACAAGTGATTGGAAAATGGGATTAAACGTTGCCATGTTTGGCTTTGGAGACAATTTCGAAGGCGTTAATAAATATTTGTATTCAAATACATGGAAATAAAAGTTTTCTGTCGGTCCGGTTCAAATTTGATCAGTTGATATATTACCTGTTAATTACTCATTATTTATTAAGTTCTGGATTCATCGGGTTAAACATTTTTAGACGTCCTCCAGCCGTTGTTCAGTAACTACTTTCATTTCCCGCATATTTGTTCAAATGACGCAATATCCTCTTTACTTAAGACGGCGTTTTCTATCGAAAGAGTTAACCAGCATTGCAGTTATCCGACAACTGGACTGTATCGATAGATGAAGAAATCGGCTGGAAACAAAAAAATTTTATATTGATTTACAAAAGGGGAGACCAAAGTAACAGCGGCATCTAAGACCGGAAAGCTGCTCCTGCATAATCCGATGCGAAGCGGATGCTTAAGAAGCTTTATTTGCTTTTTGAAGTAAAAACTAAAAATTGTGGAATTCTGTAAGCAAATCTAAAACAAGAACCTAACAGGAACCTACCAAATTTGTCGGGAAGATGGGAGAAGGTAACTTCATAATAAAAAAGTTCATTAACATTATTAAAACAACTATAACAACTGCTAAGGGAAGTATTAATATGATTCAACCCATTTCGGGCACAAGGATATATCATTATCAAAAAAAAACCATTTTCACCGAGTTTCAATTATATATCTGACAGAATGACCGATATTTTTGGTAAAACTTCAGCCATAGGCTCTGTGCTCCAAATTTCCAGTATCTGGCGGGTTGAATATTTATGGCCCGATTTTGACAATTTTTAGGCCTGACATGACATACCTTAAAAAAATATTATAGTTATGGTTATTGTCCTATTTCGCCCATTTTCACACTGTTACGTGGGAATGTTAAAATAATGTTATGCACCAAATTTAGTTGAAATTGGTGCAGTACGTTCGCAGTAGATAAGGGATTTCACCTAAATGTGGGCGGTGTCACGCCCATTGTTTAATTTTGACACCTGCTCTTATAAAACCCTCTTGTGCCATTATAGATGTAAAATTGAATGTCCCTGACGCATTCCGATGTTGATCTATCGCCCTTTTTGTAATTTTTAACAAAACCATTGTAGTTGGAAATTGGGCGTGGTTACCATTCGATTTCACCTATTTTCATGCTGTCGCAAGAGGTGTGGAAATAGTATGTATTGTGCAAATTTGGGTTATATAGCTTGAATAATTTTGTATCTTAATTTGCGGCTTAGCTGCTGCATTTTATTGGTTTTCGATCCATGACACTTTGTGAGCGTGATGATTACCAAGTTTTTTTCAGACCACTCTATGGTATGTACATAAAATACACCTTAATCTTTCATCTTTCCTTCAAAGCAAACCTCAAAATCTTTAAAAAAATTAATTTTCAGCAATTCTGATGTATTAACTCCACAGTCCTGAATATTTTAAAATCACTGTGGCGAATGTCTTTTGTTTCTATTGCCTATACCTTCACGTCAAACGAATTTAATTGTTGTCAACTGCAGAAGTTACTGTCGCTCACCTCTCGACCGGCTGTTTCACAAAATCTGAAGGCGTAGATTCACCGGAATGAAATGCGAAATAAAACGAAATTAAAAGCAATTCAAAAGTTTCCCAACCAACAATTGCGCTCTTTCTATTACCATTTTTATTAAATTTGCTGTCTTTTCCTTTGCGCTGTGCTTTGTTTTTCGGTTTGTGTTTTGTTGCTGCTCTTCCTTTAATACATTTTCGCTCGGCAAGCACTACGGAAATATTTAATTTTTGCAAATTAAGCGTAATTTTTTCATATTGCCGCATGGCATAACGCATAATTATGAAAGCGCACACACCCTAAACACATACACACACACGAACTTACTTATCCAAAGCCATGTGCGAACGATTGTAAATAGTGTCCTAGGCCTCGGCCCAGTCACGATTACTATTACGCGGGCGGTGGAAGTGCTTTGCCAGTACCGACCACGTTTAGCATCACCCACACCCCGCACAGCTGAGGTGCCTTGTTGCTTTTGCTTCTAATAGATTTGCCTGGTTCATTAAGTTTTTCCATTTTGTTGCCTATTTCAAGGCGCGCCGACAGGTAAGCCCATAAATGCGTTTATTTACCAAGCAGCTACCATAAGAGTTTGCTCTACGATTGGACGAGCTTATTGAAAACAAGATTGTAAGCATGTATAGGTGTGAATTTATGTGTAGATGATTGCGTTACGGCGCATTGAAACGTAAGGCGAAATAAAATCACGCTGATTTTCTTGATGAGGAAGCGAGTGCTAAACTGGAATTTTCGTACAAATGACAAAAGAAAGAACAGACTAACGGCAAAAAATAAACACATACAAAGACACAATCAACGTGTCAACGATGAAAGCAATAGAAAATAATAATTACAACAACAACAAAATAATAAAGCAACAGTTTTTTCATAGCAGCAAAAAGGCAGTACGAGAAAATTACACAGCAAAGTGTGGGTAAGTGTATTGGTATATTGATGTCTAAGGAGTTGACGGCGTAGCTTTAGAGAGCTTGAAGTACAAGTGGTGCGAATATTTCGAATGGAAAGTGTTATGAAAAGTTCTTTAAGGAAGTTGTTTAGTAAGAATTGGCAGAGAATGAGACAATGTAGGGGCTGAAAAATGGCGAAGAACTCTAAGTAACTCTTTATGTTGAGTTTTCTAACAAAAATAGTTTTATGATGGAATTAACAAAAAATAGTTTTTTTGAAATTAAAGCTCAGCAATTTTCCTGCTATAGATGAGCTCAGGTCATTCCATAATCATCGCTTTACCACCCGAAATGCTTGTAAAATTAATGGAAAATGCAACAAAAATAGTCCTTGTGTATGATGCGACCAGGAAAGAAAGGTAACTGGATGATAATATATAATGTTATAGTCAAAAACTTGTCGAAACAAATTTTTTAAAGTTATTTAAAGTTATGCTACCGAAACATTAAGTTGTGCACACTGTACTCGGTGCGTAAACTTTTTTTAAAAATTAGTTCCAGCTTCTTGATATATTTTTTGATATGTGGCTTCATGATATTTAGCTGATGGAGCGTTCCAATAAAATACTATTACAATTATTGGGCAAAAATATACGAGTCTATGAAGCTTGTAACTATAGCGGACAGAATTCGGTGAGTTTCGCGCTATGATCGTAAAACTTGCTCACATAAGTCGTCCAAGCTCCCCTGTTAATATTATCGCTTGAAAAAGTCCTAAAAAACAAATTTTAATCTCAAACTTTCTCACTATTGTTGAGTTGATCCTCTCCATAGTGTGTCACTTCGATATCAGTATAATTACAATCGCATCATAACATGCCCAATTCGATAGCCGATGAAATGGAGCAAAAAATAAATAAAGAGCTTTTATGGAACACAAAAGTCACTGTTCGCCTTGTTTATAAGTAGAGGACTGTGGAAAATTTCTACTACAGCACATACTGGAGAGTCTTCATGACATTCGTGGAAGCATCTATAACAACTCTCTTTTTCTCTAGTTCGTTCTCTCTCTATCTCTTTTTTTTCCTTCTAGCTCGTTCTCTCTCTCTCTCTCTCTCTCTCATTAGAACGAAATGACATAACCGGAATTGTAAGATCATTTCAAACAGTTGAGTCATTTATGTGTTTAAAATATCTCGAAGCGTAGCCTTCTGACAAACCACTTTCTTTAGTCAGACGCAGTAAAAAATCATTGCCTTTTGTGCAACTTCATTACTTAGCTTTGATGATATTTTTTTCATTAAAAAACTCATCTATAAATATATATAATTTGAATCTGACTGGCTTGACACAACCACCTTTTTGTTGTTAGTCGGAAACCAGATATTTCAAGGATGATATACCCCTCTAGACACTAAAATATAACATGATATTATCTTAAAACGAAATCTTTACACTTCGATGTTCGCAGTTTCAAGCTGATGTTTTAGAAATTTTTGCTAAAAGCTTTAATAAATTTCTCAATCAACCACCTGGCCACTTGCTCTGACAGTGAGTTCAATTAATAGTTTCACTGTTGGTATACCAGTGTATACACTCATGCCTATACCATATGTACATATGTAACATACATACTTGTATGTGTTTGTTTGACCGTTGCGGTGCAGGTTTTGTCTGCGCAACTTCTAGCCTTTAAGCTATCATTCTACAAAGCAAAATATTTTCCACCTTTCGCCTTTTTTCGTTCCGCGCACTCATATATTATATATATATTTTTTACTATGCATATTTTTAGACCCCTTCACATTTGACCTCCTGCTACGCGCTGTTTGGCACAAATTATTTGCGCTCGTGACGTAGCCGAGCATTGTGCAGCACTACGTGCGTAGCTGGCATATCGTACATAGGTCACCACACAAGGTACGGACGTTCACCGCTGTCCAGCCCAGTGACTCGCGTGGCCGGTGTATTCCAGCAATGTATGTTATGATTGCGGGTTAGAGATTTCAACCAATGCAGAGCCCGCAGCATGGTTATGGTTATACTTCTATGAACAGACCTGCATACAGATATATGTATATAATATATATTTATAGATTTGTAGTTGCGCTCGTGCTCAGCGGTATTCTCCCCCATTTGGTGCAATCGGTGCAAAACTTTATGTTTTCTAGCACCCGCCGCAATTCTAGTTCACATTGTGAAATATATCTGAGGTCAGCGGATGTAAAGGGCTACGCTGCCGCCTGGGTGCTCGGCCCAAGCAATCTACACCTATGTACATATGTATGTGTGCATTCCGGTGCAGCAGGTAGGTAATTTGTTATTGTATGACGCCTAGTAATTCGTTGTAGTTGTACCACCTTCCGATTCGTAGAGTTTTTTAATTTTTAAAAACTTTTCTGCGCGCGCTCATAGCCCCGTAGTTCCATATTTTATTGCATATTGAGATTTGCTGCAAGAGGGTAAAGGGTTGGCACAAATAATAACCCTAACATGACGAAAGGTTGGAGCTATATTTAGTAGATTGTAGGTGGTGATAAGTAGAATTTATTATTGTTGCAAGTGGGTCAAAAGTGCAACAAATATTAAGTTTTGTTTTTTGATAATTTAACTTTAAACCAAAGTAAATACATTTATGCCAAAACCTTATTGGGTTCTTCTTCTACTTGGATAAATAGATTCTCCACTATTTCTTTCCAACTGTTGTCCAATACTAACATTTAGTCACAGTCGAATGCGTTAAGTCTGCACCATTTGGTCCCTTATGTTTGTTATTGCTTTTGCATTTAAGTTTTTTAACAGAATCTGAAATATAGCGATCAGAGGAAAATGTACTCATATAACATTCGCGGAAGACAAGTAAAAACTTCACATACAAAGTGATGCTCGGAGCTGGTCGATAGGCTGATACTTCTGACAGCACGACTACTGAAGTTAAAATCGACAGTTCGTGACACGGACTGGGACTAAGAGCACAAATTAAGCTATTAACAAAATATTTAAAATATATACCTTCAGCCTCTGGTATTTTTAATAATCTCTTTTGGTCGAAATTGCATTTACAGTAGTCATCGCTCTATGATTCTCATATAGCTGCCAC